TCTTGGTTAATTCGAAGCCCAGTGTCAGGTCGTGACAAACATATATCAAAGATAAGGTTAGGATTTAATTAAATAAATCTTGATGAAAGTGTCAATAGGTTATTAATAATAAAAAAATAAAAATTAAAGTTAAAGCAATAATAATTATATCTATTCAGGCATAATGATACACATAAAATTATAGAAGAATAGAGTCTGATATAAAACAATATAGAACTTAATATCAATGTAAACACGAATGGCCTGGCTCAAATGATGACGACGATGATTCAACTGATTTTAGAATTTCAATTTTAAAAGAGTTGGCGTCAGGACATCAAATGACAAATTAATCGTCATCGAGGTAAATATTTATTTTCTTTTGCTGTATTAATATCTTGTTTCTTGTCGATCAATGATGTTACCGTAACTGTTGTAGCATTGCATACACATGATGCATGATTCTATTGAATTTTATATATATAGTAAGAGTGATCTGTGTGCTCAGTTTTATTTAAATTATCGTATTTATTGAATTTTGTAGAAGAATATTGATTGTTATGGAAAACGAAAAAGAAAAATTCATTTTTAGAATATGATATTTTTATAGTATTCTTATATGTGCAAGATTGATTTTGATGGAATTACCTCTTTATGGTACTAGTGGTAGAATACAAAAGTATTCTATGTATGTAAATGAAAATAATATTGATATTGAAGTACCTTAAGTAGTATAATTTTTAGACCGTGTTCTTGTGACGGTTATACATATATAGAATGATATAAATATTTTATTGATATAGTAAGATTTTTTAAAAAACATCAAATATTTGTATTGAGTTATTTAAAAATTTATTTGACATTTATGTTGCTTTCTTTTCTCTTATATTACTATAGTTTAGAAACATGAGTATTCAGTAGTTTTGCTTAAGCTCACTGTTGTTTTAATTTAATATTTTATTTTTAATTAAGTGATTAAAAGATGAGTGATATAAGAAAAAATATTTATAGAAGATGCAAATATTCGATAACGAGGTAAATTTAACTATATTGTTTTTAATTTGATTAATGTCTTTTTCATTTGTTAAATGGTAAATGAATATAGAAATTTTAGTTCACACCGTTCGACCGTCTTGGTTAATTCTAAGCCTCGGGCCGAGACATGAGGGACTATCTGGTCGCTCAGAAGAGAGTGAGGTCGAGGAGTCCTTTAAAGAAAGGGAGAGAGGACAGTCGCCTTTGCCACGCCAGGATCCTTCATTCATTGGGCTATTTGCTAGGAGTGAGGCCAGTCAGCCTGCTTCTATTGCCTAGATCAAGTCAGAGACAGAAGACGTCATATCCATAGAAGCAATATAGATAAGGGAAGAAGTTTTTTTTGCTAAGTCGAATCTTCCACCCCCTCCTATCCAAAGAAAATAAAGGGCTTTCCAGTTGAATGGGTTCCCTCTGAGAGTAACGTGGCAAATATTTGGAACTCTTTTGACGGTCGGTATATTGCCTTCGACCCGGAGGTGAATTGGTAGTGGTTCGCTCTAGGTTGAAGTTTGCCCATTTGCCTTTGTTGAAATGATCTGGTCACATGCTTTTGTAAAATCTCTCCGGGCGCTTGAGCGACCTGAGCTTTATTAGAAAACCGATCGCTACCATCTGAGGCGTGTGAGGCCTCCCAACTTTAGTCGATGACATTGTAATAGGCCTAGATGAAGTGGGCTGCCGCCTCAGAATGGGTCAAATCCTCGACCAGGCTTCTAAAGAAGGCTGGAAAGCAAGCCATGATCACTGAGAGAAAGCTGGCAGCGATGGAGGAGGAGATTGACACTCTATCAGATCTCATGTTGATTTCCCAACAAGAGAATCAAGAGCTGAATGCACAGATGGCGATGATGAAAACCGAGGAGTTCTTTGAGGCGCTTCCTTCCCGCTCGAGACATGAAAGGATTTTGGGCAAGCAACTTCGAGTCGACAACATTACAACGATCAAATGTTTCATTCGATCAGGCCTGATCAACCTGAAGTTTGCGAACTTAGATGAATTTGCTGCTCTGTACACCAGCTTTGAGCGATCCTCGGGGGGCGACTCGAATGTCGGAAGCGACGGAGGGTCCTTTAGTTGACTTAAAAGAATTTTCTAGAAAACTTTTGTAAAGATATTTTTATGTAAATTCAAATTTTTGTATGGAAAAGATGTTTTTTCATTTGAAAATGATTGAAGCCTCTCGGCCATTTTTGCATAACTCAGCTTCTGTTTATTACTTTACTCTTACTGCATTATTTTGTCGCGATAGCTGCTTAGTGTGATCGTTGGTATTGATTGTTGACCCGGACCTTTTGAATGATCGTCGGTAATTTTTTAATATATTACGACCCAACATAAGCTTTACATTGGCCGTCTCTTTTATTCAGTCGGATTGTTGTCTCGGTTGGTGCGTATCTTTCGCTGGGACATAGGCAGATCTTGTGGCTACCTTCGTAGGGGTAACCGACGAGACTCGCTGTTGGGGTGATTTACGTGTAAGTTCGCGGAGCTTGTCACTAACGGGTAGGGAACTACCTCTAGAGTTATCTAAGTTGAGCTCAATGATATGGGCTTTTTGATGTTTGATGTTGAAGGCCAAATTTTTAGGATATCGAATGAATGTCTGGAGCGTCGTTGCTAGTTTAATATATAGTATTGATTGCCAATTCAAGTCTTATACTTTTCCAGGTTTATTTCTCAGTTGGATTGCCGCCTCAGGCGGGCCTCACTTTTCTCTAGGTCTTAGGAGAATCTTCTCGCCGCCTTTACGGGGGTAACCGAGGAGATTCACTATTGGAGTGATTTGCACCGTACCCTTCTTGGAGCTTATTGCGATTCGACAGGGATCCACCTCCAAAGCTTTATCCAATTCAAGTTTGGCTAACAAGATTTATGATACAGGAGCATTGTGGATAATTCAAGTTTTGGGATTGCTGTCGGTGCTGCTTATTGGATTCAAGTTTCCTAATTATTAATTGGACCTGGAAAAACATTTGAGGGATTTGTACCATCACACATGATGAGTTTTAAAGTAATACTCTCGAATTTGTCGGGTGATGTGTCAGCCGCTCAAAGTCGACCAACCGGTTTGCAGGTATGGTAAGTCGGCTTGTTTCGATCGTTGAGAGCTAACCATCTGTTTTGTGGTACTCGCCTTCTAGCGAAAGCCTCTAGAAGACGCAGAAACAAAATTTTTGACTCCAGATCTGTTGTTGCATGAACTCCTTAGCGTGCTTCCTATTGGGAATGTCTCTAAGATGTGCTTCTTGTTTGTGTTGCTTCCCCTTTTTTTTGGTAGTATGCTCCACACTTACCACACATTTCATGATGTTGGATTTAGATTTGTCCCGTGAGGCATGCTCAAGGATCGTGCAATATAATCGGTGAGGGAGAGGTAGAGAGAGGCAGAGAGGGTGAAAGAAGGAAAAGAGCACACACAAACTTGTTATGTAGAGGCAAACTTGGGTATTCCCAGACTTTGTGATCCGTTTTATATATTGAAAGTAGAGGATTACATGAGCGACGGTGAGAGAGTTCTCCCTACAACGTAAGGGACTAGAGAGAGCCCAAAAAGCCTTGAAAGGCCACAAGCCGGGATGCCAAAAATTAGGAGGCCAAAAAGCCTGTAATATATGCTATGGATCCTCTATTTATAGGAGTTAGAGGGCTGAAAGTGTAAAATTATATGCTTGCTCTTTCTTTAATAGCGACTTGACAAGATATTCTTGTCTTTTGGCGCCCCTTTGCCTTTTCTAAATAAGTAATTATTGCACCTTTTTGTATGGATGCCGATCCTCCTTCGCTCCGGAGGTTGGTCGACTTTGAGTGTAGTAGCCGGTCGACCTTAGGGGGGCTGGTCGACGTTTTTAAATATCATTCCTTGTCTCTGGCAATCTTTGAGGGATCTGTTGAGAGAGTCTTATGTTGATGCTTATAAGCTTTTTGTGGGATTAGACCTTGGACTAGTTGTTGGCGTAGATGTCTATTTCTTAACGACCTAGGTGGCTCTTGGGTCGTCAGACTTTCATTCAATCGGCAGTCCTTCGGTCGGTCGCCACCTTTTCGGTCGGTTGAGTGTCAGTTGACAGGTGGTTTTCCTCCGGTCGGCTTCATGAGTACTTGTAGAGGGATGATTCTCGTTTCATTTCTTTTTATTTGGACTGTAAATTATCTCGAAATTGATGGAGGCCATTTTTAGGTGTACAATATATATATATATATA